ATAGTCGCCCGGCCCCTGGCCGAACTTGATCTTAGAAAGGATGCTGTTGCTTGCGTTGGAGCTCGCCGCCGACACTGGCCGCTCGCTCGTGACGCTCTCCGTCGACTTGCTCCTGAAGTGGCGGCCAATGGATGAAGAATCGCCCTTTGACTTCTTCGTCGGCGAGCTGGACGCAGACTGGTCCTTTTTACGTGAGAGGGTGAAGCTCCTTCCCCTGCTGCGTTTGGACTGCGGGACCTCTTCCTTGTCGGAGCCCGCGTTCGGGGCAGCCGAGGCTGGCTCGTTGGTGCCTTCGTTGCCGGCTGCCTCCTTTGCCGCCATCTCGGCCCAGTCTTGGCGGATAAACTCCATCTTGATCGTGTCGGCGAGGTTCCGCATCTTGTAACGCTGGTTCTCGGGGATGTTGCGCCGGTCGAGCATAGCCTCCAGGTGCTGGTCGATCTCCTTGGGATCGATTGGGCGGTCTGGGACCTCGGCCGGTGATTTCGTCTTGGTCGTCTTTTGGGACATGGCCGAAAAGGCCGTGAACAGCTTTGGCCGCTGGACTTTGCTCGTGATCCTCTCTGACGAAGAGGGCTCCCGACCGTTAGCCGGTGGCCTACTACGCAGGTCCTGCGTGGATTCACGCTTCGATATCGCCGTGGACGGATGATACGACTTGGGCCGCTGCTTCTTGGGGGCCATGGCGTCATTCGACGACGCCTCGCTGCCGTATCGCCCGCTGCCGTGGTCAAACGACTGTTTCCCTCGCAGCCCCGTACTCCCGAGGTCCTGGCTGCAGAACTGAGCGTATATGGGCGGCGCCGGCCCGCCGACGCCGTTGGCGGACATGTCGGCGCTCGACGTCGAGCTCGGCGGGGTGCGGTTCTCCTTGTCCTTGGCCATGCGGCGCTCGTCCTCCTTCTCCTTGGAAGAGGTCTTGTTGAGGGACAGCGTCGACTTGGGCCGCGACAGGAAGCCGGCGAGGTTCGTGCTGGACTTTGTCTTCTTGGGCTTCTCGGGGGACACGTCGCGGGACTTGCGGGCTTCCTTGGCGAGGCCCTTGAGGGACAGGGTGCTGAAGGTGGATTTTGTCGGGGAGCGTGATCGGTCGCGTCGGTCGTCGTCTGGCAGCTTCCGCGGGGAGCCGCCCTGCTGGGAGTTCCCGTTCAGCTCGCCGAGGGCGCCGAAGCCTTCGGTGCGGAGGGGAGACGGCGGGGGCAGCATCTTCCCCTCGAGGCGGTCGTAGGCGGCTTGGATGTGTTGGGAGGAGGTGGTGGTTGTTGTTGTTGTTGTTGTTGTGATCTGGACGGACGGCGGGGAGGTGAAGAGCGCGGAGCCCTCAGACTGGTTGCGTCGGTGGATGAAGCTTTTGAGAACGGAGGACCTGGGGCGGCGGCCGCTCTCGACTGCTCCTCCCCCATTGTTATCGCCTTCGGCAGCGGAGCCCATTGTCGTGGGAATGGGCTTTGGCTCGCGGGGGGTGGTGGAGGAGAGACAGGGTCCTGCTGGTTCAGGTTTGGATGAAAACAATGCCCGGATGGAATGCTAGCCAAGTTTTTTGTGTGATGGATCGTCGCCCGTTGCCAGTCTAGCGGAAAGGATATTGGAGAAGGGTGGGCGGCAGTTGGAAAGTAAAAACAAAAGACGTCAGTAAGTCCACTGCTTTCTGTGTGATGATGAAGTTTTGCCCCGAACAGCTGCTGGTGCTTCGTTCGGCTCACACCATTGTTGGGGAAGAGGAAGAAGATGATGCTGCAACGCTCTTTTGGGAAGCGGGAGATTGGCGTAAAGCCAGACTGTCGACCCGGGTTGCGGAATTGCTATTGTTTGTCGTTGCAATAAGAAAAGTTTCGGGGGGAGGACGACGGGGGGAAAGGCGTAGGTAGGATTTTGGGGGGGCGGCAAGATGGGACACACACACACACACACACACGGGTAACGGGACGGGCTGGCAGTGCGGTGCTGTGCTGTGGTCGGGTGGTAAGGTAGTCGGTGAGCTACTCGTACAATGTGGTTGGTAAGGTGCTCGATGGTGGCCAGCGATGTTTATCCTGGCCCGTCGCCTGGGTGACGGGTGGGCCTTCCCCCGTTGGACGTGCCCGCCTTATCTTATCGGCCGTGCAACGCGCCTGCAGCTTGGGGTTCACTGCATTTTGGTCTGTTTTTTTTCGTGCGGGGCGGCCCGGCAGGAGTGGGGCCGCGCCGGCAGAGTCGGCGTCGAGACGGAGGTTGTAGTCTGGCGGGGACCTTTCGTTTTGTGTAGTTCTTTAAACGCCAGAACGTCATCAGGGTCCTGACTCTGGGGCTGCTGGGCATGGAAGAATGACGGGCAGTTGATGTTCATTTTGTCGGTGTCGTACAGATTGCAAAGCATCGATGTGCTTGTACAAAGGAGTAGGACTCGGATTCTTTGTTCAACAATGCATTGTATGTTACCCTTGGCGAACGAATCTGTACCTGGTAGATGCGTTGTATTCTTCTCTGATCACCACGATAATTTCGGAATGAAAACATCATCATCGTCCGCAACGCTGGCGTAGAGCTCTAAATCTTGAATTACCATCTGGCCTGCGAGGATTCACCGAATCCGTGTCTATATCCACCAACGCCAACCCAATGGTCCGGTTCTATTTCCATACCATCCCGCCAGTGCCCGTATCTTCACAACCCATGACAACAGTTCCTCCTGACCAACGTCTCTCGTCGGTATCTTCTAACCCGCCCTACCAACTCATCAGCCCCTTGGCCCGATCAAACCCGCCCCTCAACTGCGTCTCCGGCTTCACAACCTTCCCCTGCAAAATCGTATACCGCACCAGATTCTCACAGTCCTCCGGCTTCACCCTCGCCAGCCAGATACACTGTGCCGCCCCCACATCCTCCTCCTCCGGCAGCACCACCTTCGGCGTCACCTTGATCTCCTCCCCCTTGGCCCTCTCCACGGCGTCGAGCCCAAACGCGTCCGGCCGCCGGTACACCATCACGTTCGCACTATACTTATGCCCGCCCACGTGACTGATAAAGTAAATCCCCACCCCGCCGGGCCTCTCGTCGTCCATGTCGCGGAACAGCCCCAGCGGCCGCAGGTGTCGCTCGAGCTCTTTGCGCAGCAGCGGTGCCGACTGCCCGCAGCGCGCGTCGCGCGTCTTCTGCGAGCAGAGCAGGATCAGCGCGCTGTGCGGGCACGGCCGGCGGGACATCTGCGGGGGGATCGCCAGAGAGGAAGCGTCGCCGGTCTCGGTGCCGTTTGTGGATGCGACGGGGACGGAGGCCGGCAGGGCCAGCGGCGCGAGCGGGTCCGTGTTCGTGGGCGCCTTGTCGACGAACTCGGTGATGAGCTCCGGCACGCGCTTCGGGGTGACGTGGTCGATGATGACGAAGGCGGGGAGGAGGAGGACGGTCGTGGGCTCGGCGTAGTCGTTGTGGTGTGTCGGCGTGGGGATGTTGGACGCGGAGAGCATCAGTTTCTGCAGCGGTCAGCTTTGTTCTTCTCCTTCACACACTACAAGCGTAACATACCCCATTACTAGGCGCCGCAGCCCTCCCGATCGCCTCCATCACGCTGCCCTTCTCGTCCGCCACGTCCCTTACCCAGTCGCTCTTCCCCGTCGCCACGAGCGCGTGCGTCGCCCACCCCTTGACGTGCCCGTACAGCTCGTCGCCCTCGTCGATCTTGAAGCCCTTGGGGTATTTGACGTGGCAGCTCTCGCAGTCGTGCTCGCACTCGTCGCCGTCGACGGCCGGGTCCGTCTTGGCGAAGAGCTCCGTGGCGGGGACGCTGGCCTCGCCGAGCGCAAGCTTGCGCGCGCCGTTGATGAGGGTTTTGAAGACCATTGTTTCGTTGTCGCGGTTGTGGCTGTCGGTCTCCCTTCCAAAAAGAAGAAAGGAATGTTGTTGAATGGAAGATTACCCCCTCCTGGGCAGAAAAAGGGAGGAAGCAAGTAAGAAGTCGGGGACACTTAGGTCCTTTAGTGTCGAGAGCCGCCTCTTCGCCTCAGGGCTGAATCGCGCCTGCCTTAAGCCCGTGGCGGGGGAGGATCGGGGAACGGGCAACTGCGGCCGGCCCACCCGTTCGGACACTGGAACACCCTCAGGTCGCAGTAGTGCGTATCCGTTACCGTAGCTGTAGTGGCGGGAAGTGGGGTGGAGGGGGAATTACGAACAATACCGACGGGATGATTGGACAAACAACACAACCCCTCCAAACAAAAAACCCCAACACAACCCACGACTCAAACGAAATCCGGAGGTAGCTCTTCGGCTTGTTCAACCGGCCGGTGCAAGTGGGATCTCCGCGCGCCGAGCCAATGGCCATCTCCTGCTTTTTTATCGCCGGGTCAGAGACAATCGTAGTCTTCTCTAAGGACTGGCACCAACTCCCGCGCGGCTCCTTATTAATGCTTCCCTCCCCTCCCCATGGGGCCTCGTATCGCCGAGTCTGACTCGGACTTATCTTGCTTTCTCAAGCCAAAAGACAATCTACAAAAGAATGTGGCTCACTCACTACAGCCTTTGCGCCGGCATTCCGTGCCGGGTCGAGGCCACGCGTGCGATTCGTCTCATATAGCGTCATACCAGCCACCCCCAACCGTCTCGAAATGTCCGTGACCTGGCGTGCCTTGGGTCCTTTGAGTTATCAGATCCTGCCAGACGGCGGAGATACTCGGCGTTCTCTGTCTCCATCCGGGGATAACTGTGTTGTCGCCCCGGTCATCCCTCCATGGGCAACATTACCGCCAACATTGTCATCTCCAAGCATGCCATTGGCTCTACAACCAACCACTGGCGTGTTGCGAGCCGCACGTTTCAAAACACAAACCTGCTTACGTCTTCTTCATGGTTCAAGTTTAGCCATTCAACTAATGCTAATTTGCAGATGAAAAATGGGAATCAATACCGTGTCATCGCTGTCTATACACACACACAACACCTCTCTCCCCCGAACCCGTTTTTGTATTAGTCGCACCGTTTCGTGCCCCTCTCCGTGCATCCCTTAAATTGTTGAAACCTGGTATACTTTATGTGTTCTTCTTGCGCGCCTCATTGTACTCCTCGTCTTCGCTCTCGTCAGCACCCAGCTCCATCTTGTGATCTCCGCTCTTTCTCCGACGGAGCTTCATGGCTTCGCGGATCTTCCGGCTAGCCTCGTCAAACCCGCCGGCGGAATCCAGCGTGGTAAAGCCACTGATGGGGAAACCGCCCGAGTTGAGACCGCCACCACTGCTGCTGCTGCGACTTCTAGACCGGGAAGGAGGCCGCGTGGAGAAGATGCCAACACCGCCAATGTTGCTGTACGACTCGTTGCGGGGAAGACTGCGGCTGGACTGTGTCGTAGCCCTCCTCGCGGAGGGTGGGGTAGCCGAGTCGTAGGCGCTGGATGCGTCGCTGTCGCGGCGCGCCGGAGGAGTGCGCGGTCTGTACGGGTCGGCAACCAGGCGCGTCTTCTCAAAGTCGGGGAACATCTCGGGGCCGAGGGTGTTTATAAGATCAGTAACCTGGCCACTGAGCTCCGCCCGCTTCGCACGGAGCTGGTGGATGTTGTAGCTGGATGTAGGGTTCAGGCACAGGACCAGAGGTCTCAGTGACTTGAGGATGTCCATGCCGACCTCGCCGAATCTCAAAGCAGCGAACGTGATGCCCACCATCAGTGGCCACATGACGAGGTAAGTCGTCCACCAGGGCACCCATTCGGGAACGTGTCCCCAGAGATGGTCCTTCCACACCCTGTACGTGACAATGGCCGAGTAGAAGTGGTACAGCGTGGGAGCGAGGAAGATGGCTACGAGAAGCTTCCAGGTCGCCATGACGTCGCGTCCCTGGACCTTCACCGTGGAAGCAGCCAGTGCCTGCTTCGCCTTACGAACGCTAGTGACCTTCGATGCGATAAAGACGGGGGCAAACAGCACCAGGCCAGGGAGTACGCCGACCGAGAGGACCAGGAGCTTCGCGATGCGGTAGAAGAGGGTGAAAATGACCTTGGGGGTAGACATCTTGGCGTATTGGACCTGGTGGTCGCGGAGGTTGACGTAGCGGAGCTGCTTGTTGTATTCCTTGACCGACTTCATCACGTCCTTGATGCGCGGGTCGTCCTTGTATCGTTCGTATCCCATGGCGAGTCTGCGGTTCAGCTCCACCACCACAGGCAGTGGAAGCTTCTTTCCGGTGGGGTTGTAGAGACGGCGAGCGGCCTGGAGCATCATCAAGGTGTCGTAGTCGGGCGTGGAGACAGTGACGGCGCTCAAGGACTGGTAGACGGTGTCGAGAAGCTGGCCAATTGCCTCTCTTCTCTTGTTGTTCTTGTACATGTCGACCAATTCAGGGGCGATCTCGATGGGGGGGCCGAACTCGATAACGGCACGACTGCGGAACTTGTGGGCATGGAAGTAGTTCATGCCAACGGGGACGATCTTCAAACCACAGTCGGGAGACTCGGCAAGGGCACCCAAAGCCATGATGGCGACACCGGCCTTCAGGGGCAGTAATTCGGTACGGTCATGGCTTCCGCCCTCCGGGAAGATACCAACGCAGCCGCCGGACCTAAGGCGGTTGAAGACGGCCTCGTACACCTTGGTCTGATCAATGTGGGGGGCAAGCTTATACTTCGTGCCCTGGAAGCCCTCGGCGCAACCCTTGATGTTCTTGTTGGTGAAGTTTCCATTCTCGTCGATGTCATCGCGGCCGGTCAGCTGTTCCATGGGCAACTTGCCCTTGAACGGGCGCTTGAGCCGAATTTCCTCGGGACCAATGATTTGCGCAATATCCACACTGGCGCCTGTCTGCTTCTTGGCAGAGGGCAAGAAGAGCATGCCGTGGACCTCACCCTCGCCCTGGCCGAACTTGGTGCCGACGCCGCGGATGAGTGTAGGGTCATTGATGGGATCCGGGAGGTAAATGACACCGGAGGCGGGTTTGGCGGCATCCTGGGCGCGTCCGACGGGGACGGAGCCGACCTGGCGCGAACCCCAGCCGATGAATCCATGGACAGATTTCTGGGCGATGAGCAGGGAGACTCGGCGACCGGCTTCGTGGCGGAGGGTGCGCTGGAGGATCAGAGCATCGACAAACTGCGAAGCGAAGAAAATCGGTTAGCATGTGATGGACGAAAACTGGGGCAGGTGCAGGGATCATGAAGAGATCATTATCGAGGGCTCGACCTGCAGCGCGCAGTAGGCTGAAGAGCTATGGGCTGCGGTGAAGTGCAGCCATATGGTCAAGCGTATCCGGCTGGAAGACTCCAGACCGAAGAAAACAGGGAGATCGCATGAACCACCCCAACTCCGAGGACGGTAGGAACGACAGGGAGGGGAGTCACCAACCTGATTCGCGTGAGGCGCAGCGACGAAGAGGATAGGACCCGTCTTGGGAACCTTCCAGGAGCCTCGAGGGTGAACCTCGCGGAAGAAGAGGTCGACGAGGACACCAAGAACCCAGAGGAAGAGGTCGTACTTCCAGTTCACCATGGGATAGAGCTCCTTTGGCGGGGTCGGGTTCGACACGCTCTGCGGCGCCGCAGCGGCAGCCGTTCCAGCGTGGTCGGGCATATCTGCGACGGCGCGTGTATTCGTATGTGTTGTGTTCGGCGAGGGGAGCCGATATATGGAAAAGTGAAGGGAAGAAAAACTCTCGTGCGCGCCGGTAGTTCGCTCGAAAGTTGCGCCACTCCCTTAGGCTCTCATCCTCGGCGGTGCGGGAACCTTCGGGCTGGGCGGCAGTGACGGCAGATAAGTATTCGAGCCCGTATCAGTCAGTCGTCGCAAGAGTAGAGGCGATGGATGAGGCGGCGACGTCGACGAGAGGCGGGTGTAGGAGGGGAAGAGAGCGGGCGACTGTCAGCGCCGTGGTCGTCTGGTGATGTTCGCGACAGGCGATGAACAGGAGATGGGAAGAAAATGGGAAAGTGACGAAAGGGAAGTTTCCCCAAATTTTGGGAGGGATGTGGCCTCTGGCGACCAGGGAATGCGCCGATCAAATTAGGCCCGAAGCCAATTGGTCCCGGTCCGGGGGGCCCCTCTCATGGTGCCCTTCTCTTTTGGGACGCCTCTCTTCAGAAGGGGCCTTTCCGTCTTCCACCTTCCACAGCAGCATCCACCTGCTCTTCTTGTCTCTTCGCTGTTTTTCTGCCTGCTTCCGAGACACAAACCGCGTGTTGGGCGTCTTGCTTTCTTCCTTTTCCCTCTCCTTCCTCTGCTAAATCTCGCAGGTGGCCAGCCTTGCAGGACCCTTCTCGACTGAGGCTTACTTAGGTATCTCCCGTCTGCAGCAAAAAAAAGCCCGGATCATCTCATCAGCGCTGAACAATGCGGGGGAGCTGAACTAAAAGTACGGAGAAGCTCCCCCCAGAAGTCCATCGGGTTACAACATGCACTGCACGCGAGAAAGCTGGAGGCGAATTGGAGACACGCCAGGATCCTGCTGCTAGCTATATCACTGCTACTACTAAAGTGCGCCCAGTGTACCCCTCATTCTCAACCGCTACCTTTTCATGCATTTTGTTGGGACGTCGCAGACTCATTGCTTGCTTGGTTTGCATTATTCAACAACCGATCATCTGCAGTCCCCCAAACAGGCCACCAATTCCGCATCCCGAGAGTTGTCGCGAGCATCGTCTTCCGTATGCCCGTCGTTCGGCTACGGAGCGGCACATACACAACCTCGGGCTGCAAAACACGAGCCCGCCCGCTCTGAATCACTTGTCTGCCGTGTCTGGAAACGGCCCTGCACCTGATTGGACGAACATCCCGTCTGCTTTCCCCGTCTGTGCTGCCATTGTTCTCCTGCGCCATCATTTGCAGCTAGATCCTGCGCCTAAAGCCTGCGTTAAGGCTGCGAAGAATACACCGCGAGGTCATTAGTACGTCAGACTTGCGTGCCAGGGGCCGCACAATTGCCAACGGCCCTGCGTTAGACTTGGCGTGCCTGGTGCTGTTCTACAATGTGGTTGGTCGTGCCATCCGGCCAGAGATGAACCTGTTTTGCTAGCCTGCGCTGATGCTGGCCAATCTGCATGTCGAACCACATAGGATGACCAAAGCTGTGAGTTGGCTAGGCATAGAGAACATTGACCTCGCATGCATTCTCGGCCTATGTCTTGGCGTGAGGTAAAGGAGATTCAACGTCCACAACTCTCGTTGAATGCTTATTCAAGCTACATGTACCCTATTCTTGAAGCTAAACTAGGTAGCTGATGTCTAAATGAGATCGCCTCACTTTTCTATGTCTGCGCGGCTAAATATCCTGCGACTTTGCGGGAAAAGAAAGGAGGTCTCTTGCTACACACGTAGATATGCGACTGAACAGGATGTCCTGCGCCCGAGCAATTGACGAAAGTTTCATATTGTAGGTCGGACAATAGATTCAAAAGCGGATAGGAACTGCCATGCCTATATTAGATGGATACGTAGCTGCTTCAACAGTAAGTTTACTTCAGAAATATTACCAAAAAAGAACGGTGGGCTGTATGTGTCTCCCGGTGGATGCCAGAGTAGGCCGGACGTAAAAAACTTTGATTTGTCATAGAGGCATTGAAACACGATCTAATTGAAAAAAAAACGTATCTTCGATGCTGTTGTCAATCTTCCCTGTCTCATGAGTATTCGTGATCGCGCCAAATCAATGAAGTTGATACCCGACACTACCGGATCACAAGACTCACAGTTTTCCCTCGGGTTCTGTGCCGAGAAGTCATTATAACGTAGGTCATTGCTCCTCAAATTCCCATTTTCCGATCAGAAAATCCCTTCACAGTCCATTGGGTCTGTCAGGCTCGAAAGAGAAGGTCAAAGGCCCCCTTTAACGGAGCGTCGCTCCCGTATTCATGGAGACAGGCCACATCGTGACCTTCCTCGTGGGATGGCATCATTCCAGAATGACGTGCTTTTTCATGTTTATTATAACTGTGCAATTCTTGCAGTACGGCTTATGGAACAGGAATGATTCCCTGACATCTGCGGACCTCAGATTGGAAGTCTCATGAATAACACGGACAACGTATCCGCGGTCACAACCGCCAAATCCCACCAGGAACGCATCACTGATGTCGTCACCGAAAATGCTGTTGGTCATGATCCTGCTATTATTCGTTTCGTAGATAGTACGAGAAGCACCCACGTAGGCCGGATCATCATACGCAAGCAATGCACAATTATGTCTTGTGCCGCATGGGTAGCCACAAACAGGGTCACTGCAACGTCATAGTGCTGATATATTTCCTGCGAAGCTGAACATAATCTCGCGGCAGAAATCAACCTTTAGATGATCCCGCCCATTGGACTTCCATGTTGACCTGACTTGACGAGCAGGTGAGCCTTGAGCAAACTCGTCAAGCCTCAGCCTTTCTCCCCGATATTTAAATAACCAACACGTCGAGAAGAAACCCAGTTCAAGCGCAAAATTGAGAGGTAATCCTTCTTTTAATCCATAATCATGAACCCAATGGACTTCTTTGGCGATGTCCTTCGGAGGTGTTCGTTGAACCGAGAGAGAACGCGGGTCGTTGCAGCGGCCATTTCCCTATGAAGTTGCCGATAGTCATTTCTCCAGGCTACGTATTCATGGGATTATCCAAATATATCAAGTTGCACACAGACCAGGTAGCATACCTTGGTAGTTGCCCCAAGATCATGGTGAACTCAGTGGTTTGTGCTAAACCCCAGCTTATTGACAAGATATACGCTGCGATGCCACCCCTTTGGCCTGTAGCCTCTGTTGAACCTTTCAACATAGATTTATAAGCCCCTCAGAATCGACTTAATATGGTTCTGCAGGTTGAAGAAAGCCCAATACGTTGTCAACCATCGCACAGGATGCAAGCGTATTTAAGATCAGGGGTTTGGGTCCGTTTTGTTGGCTCCAGCACCAAATTTCGTTGTCTTTTGCCACTGTATCGTTCAAGTGCAGCACGATCACCCGCCGCCCTAAGATCGCGCGATGCGGGGTGAGCGGGGTGATCTAGGCACGCCTGCAGGGTGCTGATTAGTGAAACAGGACTTCTGTTGTCAGTAAGTATCCACACACACTCTTTTTTCTGGGTTCTCGCATGTACTTGGGGTAACAAATTGGATTTCAGCGGATAAGACTTGTTATGCGACGTCCCCATCATCCATCTAACTCAAGGGGACAAGCAGACATTCGAAACGAATCAGCGTGCCGTTATGAGAAATGTAGGAGGTTGCCGGGAGGAAAAGAAACACTGAATAGTCAGCCCCTTACATTTGACGGGGCTCCAGGTCTCCCTCCCATGGTACACTCCCAATGCGCTATCATGCACATTATCTTCATGAAATAAGGAAGAGAAAGGAGGAAATGTTGGGATACAAATAGAGGGGAAAGAACAAGCTTGATAAACAATCAGGGACCTTAACCGTCATAAACAGGTTTGACAATCACTGGTGCTTTCCACATGTACAGACTGTCCCAGTCGCACTGGATTTAGAACACTTCGGACAATTACAATCCACAGTATTGTAACCAGAAGCCGTCTTGACCCACTTCTTTGTGGCCGAGTTCCACTCCTGAGTGTATTTTGTATTTTTCCAACACCTAGATAAACAATTAGTATACAATAACATTGCATATTGTGAGACAGAAATTTACATTGTAGAATCGGTACTTGATATTGTCAAGTCTATGGCTTTGGTATAACTTCAGGAGCGGAAAGGTCTGAATGATACTCGATCTCTTGAAATATCTTCAGGGGCAGAGCGTTTGGAATCGTAACTAGCGCAAGAAGGGGGTTTGAGGTGCCTTGAGAATGAGTCTACCTCACTATTGAGAAAATGGAGGTGAGATTCAAATATTAATACTAATAGTAAATAAGCTGGCCAGCCTGCCAGATTAAACAACTTGAGGCTCTGCGGCTTTCCGCGGCACAAAAAGGACCTCGTTTCCTCATCTTCTTGCCGTGTGATACATACATGTCCATACGATACGAGTTGGGCGTATGTGTTGTCATTTTTCGGTCAGACAATCCGACCAAAGTTGCACAAATGTGTGGGTAGCAGGACTTTTTGGATACAGGGATGTGTAGGTACGCTGCAACATGTGCACCTTAGTACCTACGGTGCGTAGGAGACATCAGGCTGAGCGGGCATGGAGTATTAATGGGTTGATTAGATCTGACAGATATTGAGCGTCTCCACCGGCTTCAGCCGGATGCATATCCTGCTTAGTGCAGGCTTACGGGCTGCAGCCTCAAAGAAAAGCCTGTGTTTGTGCCGTCAGGCGTTCGCTTCCGAACGGTCTAGGCTCATCTTTATGCATTGCGTCTCAGCCTGATAATATAACGGCGAATTAAAGTCGTGATACTCTGTGACTGTTAAGCAAAAAAAAAAGTTGTTGCAGTCAGCTGGCCTATTGACAGGGGTTCACGGGTACATCAGACGCAAATGGGTGGCATGCGTCAATCAGGCTGCCCTTGGCTATCGCTATCGTGAGATACCTAGGTATAAGTACGTGCACCAGTATTTATGGAGGATGGTCTTATCATTCCTCTCTCTTCCCTTTTTTTTGTTCCCTTATTTTTTTTTCCTCCTTGTTTTTCTTGTCTGGGAAAGGCAAGGGAAGAGAACGGGTAACAGGCTTTGTGTATTTGGTTAGAGATCTTGGCTACTTACTGCGCTATGCGTCGTGCTGCCGCTGGCCCGAGTCACACCCCGTCCTACAGTGCAGGTTGGCGTGAACAGGGGGGTCATATTGGACCACTGAGTTCGGTGTGGGAGCACAAAGAGTAGGCACCTCTCTGTACGGATGCCTCTACTGTCTTACGTTTGCATTACTGACCCCGCCCGCCTTTTCTATTTGGGGCCTCAGCAGTCCCGTTGCTGGCTGACATAAAGTCGTCATCCTCTCTACTCTATGCTCATCAACTCCAATATCAACATCAAGACCACATCAATTTCACTCCCCCAATTCACCCAACAGTCTCAAGTCTAGTCATGGAAGACAGTGAAAAGCCCGACAAGCCACCTCCAGCCATGCAGCCAAAGTTACCCGCGGTGCACAGCCTCATGGATTTCAATAGTCTGATGGAGTCCTTCGAGGAAAATGAGAATGGGGACTTCAAGTTCAAATGCACCAAGTTTTTGCTGGTCGACAAAGATGAGCACACAGCCTGGATTGGTAGTATCGAGATTCCCAAAAAGCAAGTCAGTTTGGAACAAGCTATCAGCTGTCTTCGCCGTGTTCCAGACACCGAAATCTACCCCCCCTCGTTACCAGATGCAGATGCAGTTGACGCTTCAAACTTCACTCTTGCCGATGATATTTGGCTCAAACGACCTAATATCGCTGTCTACAACCAGGTAGCAGGTACCAGCGTGATTGCCGACGAGTTTCTCGAAGAAATCGCAGTATATCAACGCATTCAACAAAATCCGCACCCCAATCTGGTCGAGTTCAAGGGTTGCTTGCAGAAGAACGGACGCATTGTTGGGGTTCTGCTGAGGCGCTACTCAATGACTCTTTCAACACGAGTGGAGGGTTATGGTCATGCTCCTGTCCCCATAGCTTTGTTGCTTGAAGGCATCCGGGCTGGTGTGAAACATCTACATCATCTCGGCTTTGCCCACAACGATCTGAACCCCGAGAACATCGTGCTTGATGAACAGGACAGACCTGTCATCATTGATATGGGCTCTGCCAAACTATTTGGGTCGGAGCTATCTCAAATGGGTACACCTGACTGGAATGATGGGTTTTTGGAAGTGTCAAGCAAGGTTAATGACGAGATTGGGCTGCAAAAGATTGAGGAGTGGCTTCTGAGTTGCAAAGGGAAGATAGCCTGAGACAGAACCTCCTACTTGGTGACTGCCTTTGGCGAGCCACAGAAATGTAGCAACAAATACAAGGTGCTATGTCATATTCCCTTTCTTATTACTTAACATCGAGAGCACTCTTGATTTTATGTTCTGTTGTGGTTTCTGTGGAATAGCCGAGGCTCTAACGATGGCTTTTTATTCTAAGTATCCAGAACTAGCGCCGTGGTAGATTCACTTAGATACAATTTGAACCCGCCAACCCACCAAAGTTCACACGGCTATTCTTCCGATGACCAAATGTGACAGGTAAGAATTTCAAGCTAAAAGGAACACCGACATCTCGATTCTCGAGGCCAGGCCCGCACTCCGCTATTCAAACTTCTCACCTGAACGTGGGTCGTGTCGCGCTAACTTCGCTGCATACGATGAAGATCATATTCCATCCTCCATGCCAATACACATGTCTTACACCACCATATAACTCAGCAGGTAGCTGTTCCATGCTCGCTTCGCTCGGCCTGCCCACCTTGCCACCCTAGTTAAAAGCGGCCACCAAAGTAAGCAGTAGGGAGAGGCAACTACACCTGAGCAACGGACTATTACGGTGCATTTAAAACAGGGAGAACATGTTGACGTCTCAGAAGTCCTGTGATAATCTTAACATCGGTTCCAGTCTCTCTAACTTTCGACATGGCTACATTCTCGGTTCCCAACCTTGACTTCACTCACTGTGAGATACCTCTCCGCCCTTCCATTAAGGGCGAGTACGTTGAGAGTTCAGGCAGTGTAAAGAAGACGACTGTGTCTTCTGTAAACGACAGAGTCGTAACAAATGGTATGCTGAATTTCTGAAAGAAATCTGCAGATATCTGGTCACATCTATTTTCTCCAGGACTCCAGCGCTCTACTGCTGAGGACTGGGTGGTGCTGTGATCTGGGAGCATCTAAAGGAAGGAAATTGGGCGAGGGTGAGGGAGCTGGTGCCCCAAAACACGTACGAGCTCGCCTTCAGTTCGTACGGAGACTTTGCTGCTATGTCCAGCTAAGCACCTAGCGATTGCGAATTGAATGTTTTGCTAAGTGCTAGCGGAGGCGACTGAACTGTCCGCCGACGATACGCGCTATGTGACAAATATTGCGCCCATGGTGTCGTGAGTATCGATTTTCTCCTTGTATAGACAGAAAAGCTAACGTAAGACATATTTACTTCTTACACAAGCTCAACGTATAAAATATCACACAGAGAGCAGCACGCACGTACTAAAAGCGAAGAGGCCCCCCCCCTTTTTTTTTATCACTTTTATTATTTGCTTTTTTCCCTTCCAGTCTCAAATTGTTCGAAATTATGCATTTGTGCTAACGTGGCGCTTGGCATCCTGCCAGAACCCGCCTCATTAGGAGGGCTGAATACGGATTCATTTGCGAACGCTTACTGATGCGCGCCTTAGGCGAATCGCTATTTCGGTTCCGTGGTCCCCTATCTAGCTAACATATTTTCACTCTTAACAGCCTGGGAGAGAAGCCGGGTAAATCAGGACGGCTGCGATGGCGTGGCAAAATGATACCGAGTGGTGGTGAGAAAGGCTGCTATGCAGGACGAAGTCGCAGTGTGATGATCTGGAATTACACTGCCCCAAGCTTGGCATGTCTATGACTCTCAGCGGCCTCAATACTCCGGAAGAAATACTCAGAGGCGAATATCTTGAGTTGGCAAAGTGGCGCGAAGACAGAGGGCAGAGTCTATTTCTAGCGCAACTTATGGTCTTGGCTAATAGCATACCCAACTTTCCAGGTCTTGCCAGAGCATGGAATGGGAGCGTGCTTCAAGATGGGGGAGGTATTGGTGGCGTTCGGCCCAACCCTTTGCCAGCTAACAATGAAGCGCGTCGGTTCGATGTCGGGGGCTCCTCCGCGGTACATATAAGAGTTATTGAGTTTGCTTGAATGTTCTAGGGCTGTGGGCTTTAAAAAAAAAAAGGCACCATCGTTCCTTCTCGACAACACACGAGTGCGAGCAAGCCTTGCAAAGCTTAAGTGGCGCTTGCCACTACGTGAATCGACCGCATTCTCCAAAGTCCGAGACCATTGCAGCTTGCGGTTGATGCGAGCGAGCCAGACAGATAGCATGTCTCGTCTTGAGGGCCCGTCGTCGCTCATTTTCTTATCAGGTGAGGCGAATACTTCAACTTGGCGGGAAAAAAGGCAGCGCTTGTGTCTACAGATTTGTTCAAGTAGATTATTTACCTCGTTATGATTTGATAGAATGCCACAAGCTAAGTTTGCCTTCAAGGCTGCACCACAAATGACCGAAACGGACATTGCGCCATCTAGGGCTGAAGAGAACGCACCATACAAGCTTGAGTATATAGTGATATAATCTCAAACTCCTTTTGTGCTCAAGACTAGGCTTAGGCGAGTGTAGTCGCTGGCTCTGTGACTGACTACTTATGTGGGTGGTAGGATGCGACTGAGCCGAGTCAAACACACTGGTCCTTGCTTTTTGAGCACTCAGCACCAGCTTTGCGGCATGGTTTGCAACTGGTAATTTTATGAGATTCGTTCTTCGTAGTCTCTTGTTTGTTTCTTCTACGGCCTAGAAGACGTCTCTTGCCATGACTTGGCAGCGTGCTGCTGTCTAACTCGTTACCGCACTGACGAATATAACATAGTAGCCACCATGAAGTCACCTAAATCTTGAGAGATGGGAGAAGAAGACCAACATTTACGCGATACAATGGGCAAGTCGACGGCATACATATCTGTAGACTCTTACTATCCGGGGGAATGGTGATAATGGACAATAGCAATGGAAATTTTGCAGATAACAATGACACAACGTTAATGACGACGAAGACGGTGGTAAACCAGCTTGTAGGTAATATGTATGAGTAATTGTCCACCCAGGCAGGTGGAAGTAGTTACCCGGATAGCAAACGTCTTCTAAAAATATCCAATTCATCCTTCCGCTGGAACTCCGGTGCCGATACCGAATCCGCGGGGCGATCTCGGGGCACACGGCAAGATCGCCGCCGCCACTTGACAGAAGAAATAGAACAACATCGTGCGATGAAGCTCATGTTATTACTAAACCCCGTCCGTGATTCGGGGCCGAGGGATTCTGGCCGACGATCTCTCATAAAAATCACCAACCCAATGGCTCCTCCTCGAACTCCCGAGCGCCAGAGCTCAGGGAGCACCAACACGGCACAAGCACCCCGTTCATCCTGACTGCCTCCCTCGAAGGAACAATCCCTCCGGACGGGAGCTCGGCGACTGTTCCTCGGCACGGATGAACGAACCCAACGTCGATGCACATCGCTACCGACCAGCCAGAATCTCGCCGTCCTCAGATCCATCGGTGCTCCTTTGCCCCTCTCCAAGTGAACCGCCCCTTTACCCAGTATCTGTTCGCAACCCCGCCGACCGTGCCTCCCTCGCAGCATCACCGCGCAACGGCACGGTCGGCGCATGGCACACAGCTCGCCCGCCCAAGCTTGCGTTATCTGTCTGGACGTAGTAAGCAAACGAAACCTTGTCGCAACGTTATCCAGCCCAGCCCAGCCCAGCCCGTCCAAGCCGTGTACCATCCGCATTGTGCAAAGAGCAGAACATGCGTTGCATTCAACACAGCCCTGTTCCCCCTCTCTAGCCAGGACGGAACCTTTCATCCGGTGTGTAGTAGACAAGCACTATGCAGAGAGGCTTACGTGCATACCTGTCCAAGCTCCGGTTGAGATGGTCCGGGGCAATGCTTTATGCTCCAATGCTTTCTTTTCCCTCTGCAATGGGTTAAAGTCAAGGAGAAGGAGAAGCACAAGCGCGAAATTTGCTCCGCGCCTGGCCTCCCCGCCTGCTCCATCGACTTCTAGGCCTCGAAGCTATCGTCAAGCACTCTATGGCGTTTTTCGCATGGTTCCCTCGCATTGATCTACTCAGGGGGGTAGTAATCTGCCCGAGGGAACATCCTTGCTTCAAACCTGTGACAGCAAACAACTGCCCCTCATCACTGCACTCACCACAAATCACCAATAATCTAGCATGAATTCAGACCCGCATGATGCGCTGTAAATCATAAGATAACTGTCTTGGTATATCAGAGGAAAAACAGGAAGGACAGGCATCTAAATGTCTATCAACGCAGCCTCCCCATCCTTGGCCATCTCGTCCTTGGCCCGCTGAATGACGTCAACCCAGTTAGGCGGCCTGCACCGCTCCTTGGCAAACAGCTCCTCGGCATCGAGTCCGAACTCGAGTAGGCTATGCTCATCCGTCCACTCGCCCATTCCCATCAGCCCGACGGGGATCTTGCCCTCCGTATCGGGCCCGGCCTCGCTGCCGCCGCCAGGCCGGTCGTGCGGCACGACGTAACCCGCGGGCACCGTGACGCCGGGCAGCCCGCAGAAGTTGCCCATCCAGACGTACTCCATGCTGCGAATGGTGCGGTCGCCGTCGGAGAGGCCATGGGTGAGCTCCGACTTGGACATGATGGGCCAGCCGGCGCAGGCGGTGGTGGGCGTGACGATGATCATGCCCGGGTACGTCTGCCAAAGGTGCGCGAGGTGCTGCATCAGCAGGCCGCGCAGCTTTTGGGCGAGGAGGTAGTCCATAGCGGAGGTGACACGGCCGATGGCGAGAAGGATGCGGTTGCCGTGGGTAAGGTTCTTGGTTTCCGGGAGGAGGGTGGCGCCGTCGGTGAGAACGGTCATGGCGTGCGCGGACTGGCCCTCAACGAGGAAAGGGATGTCGATCGGGACGGTGGCGTAGCCGTGGCGCGAGACAAGGCGGGCGATCATGGAGCGGCACATGCGCTGGATGGCCGGGTCGGCCTGGGCGAACCAGGACTCGGGGACGCCGAGGATCTTGCCGCGCTTCTCGGAGGGGGAGAGGACGAAGGGGGAGGCCTGGATGAAGTTGGAGTCCGGGTGCGGAGCGCCGATGGTCTCGAAGCAGGTGGCGAGGGACTCTATGTCCGCGGCGATGGGTCCGTTGACGGCGCACGAGTTGGAGTGGTTCGGGCAGGGGTGGAAAGAGATGCGGCCGTGGGTGGGCTTGAGGCCGTAGACGCCGCAGAGGGATGAGGGGATGCGGATGGAGCCGCCGCCGTCGGAGCCGAGGGCGAAGGGGACGAGGCCGGTTGCGACGGCGTAGCCGGCGCCGGATGAGGAACCGCCGGTGTAGTAGCCAGCGTTGTACGGGTTGCGGGGTGTTCCATAAATTGGGTTGTTGCCGGTTGTGTCTTGAACAGTTAGTACCATGAAACCAGAAGGGGAAAAGATGTACCCACCGAGGCCAAACTCGTGCATTGAGAGTTTCCCAAGAATGACGGCGCCTGCAGATTCTAACTTCTTGACGCACCAGCTGTTGATTGACTGTCCTGGCTCGACCTGTGTGGTGTAGTCGTTGCGGGAACCGAGGCAAGTCCGGTAGCCGTCCATCTCGTACTCGTCCTTGACCGCAGTCGGGACGCCGTCCAAGGGGCCCAGCGGCTTTCCGTCCTTGTACCGCCTCGTCGAGGCCTCGGCGGCGGTCAGGACCTGGGTAACCTTGGTATCAAACCACGCGATCGAGTGCTCGCCTGGCGGGGCAGTGTCACGGCGGATCAGGGGCAGGATGGCGCGGGCGACGGCCAGTGGCGTGACCTCGCCCGAGAGGTACATCTCGTGATAGTCGGCGGCGGAGTAGTACTTGAAAGGCCGCGGCTTGGACTTGACGGCGCTCTCGCGGTGCAGGACGGCCGGGTCTTTCGCCTCGTCCATAGGGAAGGGCAGGACGGTTGGGTCGTAGCGCGGTTCCGCATCCTCAATGTGTTTGCGGATCTTCCGCACGCCGCCAAAGCCTGCGTTGCTCCAGATGAAGGCGCGGATGAACCAGAGATATTCCATACTGTGACGGTCAGAGACTTGAATTTCCATGACGCGCGACGGACTTACGCCCATGCTGCCAACACCAAGAGCCAGCCCTTCAGGGGCGGGTTGCTTCCTCGCTCATTTTTGTACGGAATGGGTGGCCTGGCGAAAACGAGTCAGTCTACCGCACTTTTATACGATCTCAACAAGAACGGTGGTTCGTGCATCGCGGCGAACACATGGTCAAGACAGGCGAAGCCTGACACGAAGCAGAGACAATCGAGACAACCTACCCGGCTACAGGCACAGGGTAATTGATGAACTTCTTTCTGACTTCGGAGCTCATGTTGGACCTCTTGCGGACCGAGCTGGGAGGGGAGATGGAGCCGAGTCCGGCGGCGTCGTGAGGGGGTGGTCGTTGGGATTCGGGATCAGACTCCAGTGTTGCCGATGAACATGGCATGGTGGTTTCGATAAGGCTGGGCGCCCGCGATGTGATACTCTGAGACGGATGGGCGATCCGGACCGGGACAAGCTTATATACCTTAGCTAGAGCTACCCGGCTGGAGCTTAATGCGGCGGTGGAAGGGGAAAAGAAAAGCTAAGGTTGATGGGACGCGGGCTGACGCTGGGATGCAGGTTGCGCCGGGACCTCCCTCGTCTGCGGATGCCGGGCTCGACCATGCAACAGGTTTGCGCCTGGGCCGTGTGATGCTCGCCACGAACCAACCGTCAGGGAGGGGCGAGTGGGAGGGCCGGATGGACAGGGGCAGTCTCTCCAACGGTCGAGGCCGTCTGATCTTGGGTATCCAATCGCGGGCAAGGGGTCGGACGGGCAGGATGGCAGCGTTGGGTGTCGTCCAGCCCGGAGGATGTCGGCCGGGACGATCAGCAGGAACCGTCGGTGTGCATACGGTATGCCGGCGGCGGTGGTGGGCTGTTACTATGTAAAGCTGTTCCCGGGTAGATCTGAAGTGAAGCTCTGGGGATGTGTTAATGCTGATGCAGTGGGCGCGAGGCTGGGCGTTGCGTGTTCGAGTTGACTTTTTGATGCTTGAGTTCGGGATCCTCGGCCGGCCGCATTGGGAAATCCCTGCTCTTTGGACGTGCGGTGGTACCGTTCTGGACTCCGCGGCCTCGGTATGGGCCCGGATAACCTAGGTGATGAGGTGAGCGAGCGAGCGAGCAACTGCTTGTTACTGACGGGAGACTGAGCCTCTGGAGACGAGGCGGGCCCAGAAGGTCATGTCATGCAAGGGAGATGAGTTGAGGCGACGTGAAGGTGTGTATCCGCAGAGGTTAATGACTGGCGTGAGCTTGTTCGGGTTTGGCTCTCCCGCTGACGAATGTTCGGCCGTGTAAGTGTCTGTCTCTCTGTACCTTGTGTGGGAGCTGCATGTCTCACTGGGAAAATAAACACGCGGCGCACTGCATCTCAGCAGATCTTCGTCTGGTGACAAGCTTCCATCCAAGGACAGGGACGGAGGCAGAGACAGACGTGGAAGGCGGCATTAGTCGCAGTGGTGGGCAGTGAAACCGTGAAACGACCAGGCACTAGGCACTAGGCACTAGGTAGGCACTCGGGAGCGACGGATCTCGCAGAGGACTCCCTGCTGCAGAGCCGTGATCGCCGCCATTGTTTCTTGTTTGCGGAGGCTGTGAGGTGTGAGGTGTGCGATGTGTTGTTACTGGTAGTGGTTAGTATGGGTAAGGTAGGTGGCATAGCATAGATAACAACCCATCCAATCCCAGCTGCCCGTTCCAAAAAGAAAAAAACGTTGCAGTTGCGGTCGTAGCTGCTGCGTTTGCCAGAGATTCAGTTCAGCGGACACGGACGCCGGACGAGACGATCAACTGCTGTTGCTGCTGCTGCTCGGCCTCGGGACGGCAACCGCTAGTGTTGCACTAGAGCCAAACGGGAATTTCTCCACAAAAGCGGGCCACTGACGTCGTGCCACGGTGCACCTCAGAGAAACACTCCGCGAGCTGGTGATTGGGCGCCGCACTGCTGGCATCAGCCACATTGAGCGAGCAGTATGAGCCACGTTCAACATCAGCCACAACACCGCACGTGCCATGGCGGGGCTTCAGTCTGGAGGGTTGCAGTGCTGATGGCTTTTCCTCCGTGCTGAGACTCATCGAGGCGACCCAAAGCAATGACGGCGTGACCCATCCTCCTGGAACCAGCAGAGTCATTGACTTTCGCCCTGAACAAAGCGGACTGGGGAAACATGCACCTCGACTTCGACACCCCTATGAATCATCGACGTCTTCTGCCAGCGCGTGTTTGAGTTTTCCAGCGTCCTGGTAGCGCGAGTCCGGCTCAAATTTCGACGTCCGCACCCACAATCGGAGAAAGCCCCGCAGCGTCATACTTCACTGGCGTCGGCCATCAAAACCCCAACCAACCTCATCGCCGTCCATTACTGTTTGCTGCACTTGTATCGCATCGTACTACACGTCGAACAGAACCACAGCATAACCGCCCTCTGTCGCCATCGGCCAGTCTCTATCGTCTTGGCCCGACTAACTCAGTGAAACACCAGTGTCTTTCTCCGTCTCAGTATGAGTAGTTTGCTTCTTTGGATTTCGCGACAATACCTCGAACCCTGAAGCCTGCCTGTATCTAATGGCATCATCATCAAAACTCGACGACCTGGTGGTAAGTCTTCTTTGGCTCATGCGTGCATACTTCAAGCCACAAACATCTTCTATACTGTTGTTAACCGCATCCCAGGCGGAGTTTCCCCTCCTAGACCCCACAGTTGTCATTGCAATCGCAAGTGAGCTGGACCTCAGCGATGCCGGCCAGCTCAACGACGTCCGGGGCATGCTACAGAGCCTTGCGCAGGACGTTCTGGCTGAAGAGGCCAGCGGCTTCAACGCCAGCGGTGTACCCGATGCTCTCAGCTCTAATGACGCTGGCACGGACACCAGAGACAGCTCGACCAACATCTCTGACGGTCTCCACCTGAGAGACTGTGATTCTGCGAGGACTGGCGTCACCAGTCCCCCTCCCCCAGACGAGCTGGAGTATGACGTCCCGCGCATCAAGACCTTCGATGGCGACTCGGAGCAGGAGAAACTGCTGCAGCTGCAGGAGATGTTCTCCGACCTGAAACCCCACGACGTCAGCTTTGCTCTCAAGAAGGCACTGGGTGATTTCCAGTCCGCTCTGGAGACGTTGCTGAACATTCAGTTCCTCGAGTCCATCGGCGAGCGGCCCAAAGGCATCGACGGGTTCTTCCAGCCGGAGCAGTCGAAGCCATCCGGCAAGAAGAGGGGCAAGGGCAAGAAGAAGAAGGACCTGCGTACTGATCTCTCATCGAGCTCAAGCAGCATCAATGACAGCTCGCCAAACAATGAAGATAATGACAGTAAGTTCAACAGCATATTGATGAAGGGCTGAAACTAACTCGTCCCAGGAGTTGAAAAGATCCTCTTCATCGTGGAAAAGCTGGACCTACCCTTTGAAGAAGTCTCTGACGTGTTCGACTCCCACAAGGGATCCGTCGAAGGCACCATCATCGAGTTCCTGGAACGGTACATCAAGCAAGGGGTAGTCGTCGACGACAGTGATAGTACCTTCGGAAAGCAACACGTACACGAGTTGAAGAAGCAGTACCGCCATATACCTGAAAGTCTGCTGTCCCCGCTCGTCGAAGTTACCCGCAGCGACCACCAATGGACCGAGGAAGTTGCTGCCTTGTTGAACCGGTACTTTGGCAAGCTTCCAGCGCAGCGCTTGAACATCAGCTACAAACTGGCCCCCCTGGCGAATGAGGAACTGGAGGGTTCGTCGGAGGGCTGGCAAAAGGTTGCATCGCCAAAGACGTCACTCACGTCTCCAACCGGGCGACCGCTTAACAGCCCGACGCTCATGAACAGCCCAACATTCGGGCCCCGCACTTACAAACAAGCAATGGACACCGCCGGTATTCACCGCGATGCTAGCACCCATTCGTTCAGCACCGCCGGCCAGGTTTACAAGAAGGGCCACTTGTACAGACAGGCAGCAGGATTCTTTGCCGAGCGCGGCCGCGAGGAAGCAAGAAGCCTCGCCAAGGCCAAGAGCGCTGCTGCCGACATACACGTCGGCAGCACGCGCACCGCAAACGAGATCGATCTTCACGGTGTGGAGGTGGCCGACGGCGTCCGCATCGCGCGGGAGAGTGCGTGGGACTGGTGGAACAACCTGGGCGAGTATAGGGCGCGAAAGGCTCAGGAGGGCTTCACGATTGTTACGGGCCGCGGCCTCCATAGCGCCGGAGGCGTCTCGCGACTGAGGCAGGGTGTTATCGCCGCTCTGGTCAACGACGGGTGGAAGATCTCAGTCGGGACGGGTAGCTATCGCGTAACCGGGCGACGGTAGCGATCGGTTGGAGCCGATTTGGACAGCGGTTGGTTGCTTGCGTCACCCCAACTGCATGCGAGACGCTCGGAGACTTTTTGGTGCCAGGCAACAGCATTAATGCCCCGAAACTCGCATATCCCGCCGGGTTCTGCATGATTTGACAAAAGAAGGGATTTAGAGCAGCTTTTGGTTTGGACACGACGGGTGCAATTTTTGATGTCAGCAGCGAAGATACCATTGGGCAAGAAATGTTAGAAGGAGAAGGCACATGCACAGGGAAAGATGGACTACATTGAACGGATATACTTGGACGACGCCTTTACACATGGAGTCAATAGGTTTGACAGCGGATCTGTATGAATTTATTGGCTGTCATCAGCGATGCTATCACGCTCTCCGCGTCACGAGACTTGATCATCACTTTTTCAGCCGTATCTCGAGTCCTTCCGATTCCTCCAGGATTTTCGCTCAGCAAGTGACTCTCCCTCTTGCTCAAGTACGCGTGTCGCCATCAACCGTTGCATGGCTGAAAATGAGGCAAAGCAGGGGGGACTTTGGTCGTCGATCACCGCACTAACTTGTCTCGTACGAAAACAGCAGACAAGATTCTCACCACCAACACCACCACGACGCAGCCCAATTGACACTCGACCGCTTGGGATTGACAACAAGCATCAAACAATGGCGTGAACGAAAAAGGGTCGCTCGCCCCCTTGCACCGCCCAGCACCCCGCACCCGCCGGCCGCGTCCAATAAGCGACCCGCGCCGCACCAACAACAACACAGGGGAGGGGCTGTTTGCACGTACTCCAGGCAACGAGATTCCACAACACCTCACTGGCTACAACCTCCGCACCAAGCTTTTGACGACATGCTTCCAACAGAGTGGTGCAGTCAAGCCGGGCGAAAGATGCGGCTCTCTTTCTCTCCTGCATTCCTCGCTTGCGGTTCCGACTTGAGGGGAGGGGCTGGGGTTCAGTCTGGAACTGGGGCACTGCCAGGTCGCCTCCTTGGAAGGACTTTGGTTCCCTCCATCCATCTAGGAGTTTGAAACGCCGTACTTGAATCGCAAAGCCTCAGCGATGTGAGAGGAATCTGCTATATAACCA